GTTTTTCACTTCAAGCACACAGTGTCAGTGCTGTTAATGTATACTCAAAATGTAATTATATAATTTGAAATCAATCATTTGACTGTGAAAATCAACAATCAGTTATTTGGTTCCACCCTGATTCTTCAAGCCATTCGATCTCTACAACCACAGTGAGAGCTTGGGCCATAATTCTGGCCCCTGCCCACCTTAAAACATAGTTATCTGTGTACTGTTGTGTTTAATGTCAGAAATCTCAGATAAATAGATATAAAAGATGTATGCAGCCACCCGCTACATGAAGTCTACATGTTGGAGCTCTAAGTTAGCTCGGTTAGCAAGCTCCTGGCATAAACTGAATGAGTGCACAGACACAGATACCTGCTATTTAGTTATGTTATGCTACGTAATATAAAAAACTGCAAAAAACACAAAATGCTAGATTGAACTAAAGCACAAGCGTCTTGGACACACTGTGGGTCATATTCCTTGTCACATAATTCCATTAAAATAATCCAAACAGCCTAAACTTGGTTGAGAGGTCCAGCTCAGGAAATTAGGAGAGGTGAGGCCAACCTAACAGTATCCAGTCTGGTGAGTGATTTAAAAAGAAATCACCCATCATACGGTTGCTATTAAGGGGAAAGAGCCTCTTCAGATAGAGGATTGGAGTCGATGTGGATTGAAAACACTGTAGGTTCTGCATCAGCATGTTTTTGTTGTTTGTACCTTCTTGATTTTCTTATCACACATATACGATAAGAAACAGCATCTTTAAATGCAGCCATCTGAAAATGTCAGCTAAATCGATCTCACTCCTTTCCACTTATCTTTGACTTTTAGACCAACTGCTGAACATTAAGTAGCAGCTTTAAACTCATCAGGATCTTCTCATATAAAATCAGCAGTAAATAATTTTCTGCAGTCTTTGCAAAAATCGTTATGAATCAGGTCTGTCTAATCGCCGTCGGGAGTTAACGATCACATTGTCCATTGTGCTGCAGATCTGTAACCTTTCAACCTCCAGAGTGCCAGAAAGCCAGGCGGCCCAGCGCAGCACATTGCTGTCTGCTGAGTCACTAACCAGTACATTATTCCATTAAGACCAATTATGTTGTGTAATTCCAATTGAGGCAGTCATGTGACTAACTGTGTTCTAGCTGACTCACAGATGAGATGAGATATCCTGCTTACCTGACAGGCACAACACAAAGAGTCTGGGCTAGATTAGTCCCTCCATTGGGACAGGGAGAATTGTTTGACTGCGCAGCACTTCCCATTCCCGAATTGTTGGGTAACTTGGGATATGCTGGAAGCTATGTACATTTTTAGGCATTGTCTCTTTTTACTATATACAAAGAAGACAAGAATCCTGATTCTTGTCACTTCACTGAAGTCTT